AGTTTCGATGGAATTTTCGGGATCACGAATTTTGATTGGCCCACATGTTGATCGTCATTTATGTCCTCACGACCACTTTGAAAACGTTGAAACCACTCGTGCTCTCTGCTACAGGATAGGCAATCATCGCCTATCAAACAAAATTTAATGTTGGCTCTTTGTTCGAAGCTCGCACCGATAACACAAACATACTGACACTTAAAACGCAATAACTTCACTTCTAATCGATGAAATGTCATGAAATTCTCACTGGACAATCGATAAAGATAGCAGATTCTAAGATTCACCAGTCACCGACATATAAATAGCGCCACCAGGGGGCGCTAGATTCAAAAAGTCCTGTTTACTTTGGAACACACAAATATACAAATATCCAAAGGGGCTGTGAGATGGCTATGAAATGGAACGAATGCACTTGCGAGTGGACTGACACTCAAAATTGCTCGAATGATGAGTTTTATTTCCCACGAGTAGATGTAGAAACGGTTCAATCGACAAAAGAGCTGCTCTATCTGTAAGCCCTGTCTGGGCTCCCAGTTTTGCCGAATAGATCTGTGCTTTTAAAAATTGCTTCAGTCTGAAAAATTTCAAACATCCCTCATCCGGAAATCTATCTCTCTGCCCAAGTATTTTTCGGAATTTTTCCACATTTGCTCACCCTTTTTTGATCAGAATTTGCTCGAGGGCACTACAAATTTTGGGAATAAAATACCTAACTAGGGCTTAACGCAGCAAATATATTTCTTATCACTTGATTATTTCGCATAAGCACTGTATTCATTATCAATGCATTAAAGCATTTGGTTGTCCCAATATTTAATCTCACTTGTCGCCTCACTTATTGGCAGAACTTTATTGTCGCATGTCTGTTGAATATGCAAATAAGTCGCATTTTATCGACATATTTTATAGTTCGATTGATAGCTGAATAGGTTGATGATGATGATGATTGTGGGCTCAAGTGGGCGTCACATGCTGAACGCTTTTCCACCTTCCATTGCCAATTAATTGGCATGTAAATCAATTATTTGACGTTAAGTAAACCCATAACGGCATATCTGCCATAGACCTACATATACCTACATATATATAAGTATTTATAAACACATAACTAAATACGCACTTGCCGTTCCATACCAATTACGAGCATATGTATATATATATATATATATATATATATATATATGTATATGTAGGAACCGCCTGAAACTAGTTTGGGGGAAATGGCATGAAGAGGCGTATCGTGACAGACGATAAAAGAATGATAGATAACCGTGCAATGGAACGCAATTCCGAGTATATATGTAGTACTTTATACAAGCACACACACACGCAGGCACACTCTCTATATTTTTAGGTGCATTTCGATGGAAAAACAATTCCATAGTACACGTAATTGGCTAGCATATTCCATGGAAATACATACATTTATTTAAAGTTCAAAGTTGAATATTGCATATACACAACATATGAGCATCTAGGTTTCAATTGAACTTTGAACTACTTGTATGTGTGCATCAGGATGCTTAAAAGGTTGTTAATTCTGCACAAAATTAAACCTTTTCCAATGCTTTGAAACATATTTCTGGCTGATATCAAATATAACACTCTTCGAAGTTCACGGACTCTTAGTTTTAAACTAAAATGAAGCACAATGCATTTTTTGATGAGTGATTTATTTCGATCTGCTGTGATTCAAACGAGGCATAGCGATTAAAGATTAGAGAGGGGAAGTAAACACAGCCTTTAGTATCCATCTCTAAAGCTCTAAAGGTTTAGGAATAGTAGAATTAGAAACTATCAATAGTTCGGTCAATCGTAAGTTGCTGAATTGTCCGCACTAAGGATAAGAATATTTACAATTAAAATAAATAATTTTACACTTCTGAGCAAGTGTTATTTTTGTCCAACTAGGAAGCTTTCAAATGCCACTAATGTACAATATTCGTACTTATATCGATGGCTGTTTTCTTTAGTCTTATCATCAACCTTAAAGATATCTCGACAACGTTGCATTAAAAAACAAACATATCATCATCGTCTGAACTTGTGAATTTTAATAGCAAATAAACTTTAAAATATCACTAATGCATAATTTTGTAACTAGTTTCGAATTTTATTTTCTTCAATTATCCCTTGAACATTTAAGGTGCCGAATGCCGATTATTGTTTTCTTCAATCTCAATCATCAAACTCAAAGCAACATCATCTTAACATGATTATATCATCATCTGAGTCCGTGATCTGTATCTCATGGAATTGTTAGCCAACTTTAATTTTGATATGTCAACAGTATACAATTTCGTTACTTATTTCGATTGATGTTCTCAAATATTTTCATCAGTCTTCAGTCCCATCATCAATAAGTCTCATATTCCCGTTTCCTTTTATGTGGGTCTTTCAAATTTGATCGTCAATGAGGCTCTAGTAGTAGTGTCGCCAATATTTGCTTTGATAAGACATCTATAAAATTTCGGATAGGGGGCTATTGAATAATATCTAAAGTGACGTCTCTTGAGCCGTGCGTGCAGTTTTTTTATAACCTTGAAAACTGATATGGAGATTGTTTCAAAATTTTACGAGATTCTTGGTTAATTCTATTCTGTTTTTTTTTTTAATAATAAAACCTCTACAGTTACATGAAACGACGAAGTGTTCTCAGAACGAGCGCGTGTCTATTGGGATATGTTATTTCGGATTTGTTCTCGTTTATGTCTGTTCAAATTGCCTTTATCTGAATAGTAGCATAGATGTTTCCTAGTAATATTAATTTGTAGCACACTCGTGCCAATCGAAGCGTACCACAGACTCCAACGTAATGGAAATGATCTTCAAAGGCTGATTCATTTGTTGGAGACACACACAGAAAAAAGATTCAGAGATCAAGTCCCCTGCAGTGCTGCCATTTTTTTAATTAAAAAAAAGACAGTTTCTAACTGGAAGAAAGAGCAAAAAAAGCCGAAAATTTGCAGAACAAAACCGGTAATGGTAATGGTTTTACCAATTTATTTGTTGTAAGGTGGTATTTCAAATCTCTTTACATTAATTCATCCAGTTCTGCGAGGTTCACATTCGTACGACATGGCCGTCCAATCATGCGAAAATAATTATTAGGCATTTGGTAGTCAAAGCAGCATAGTTTTAGCAGGTAAGCTGAAAACTATGCTCGTCCGAGTCATCTTCGCCTTGAATTCTTCGCTTCATCTCGGCAGTTTTGTTTGTATTCCTTAAGCATTTTACAAATATGTTGCTATTGGCGCACACTTTTGGTATTGAGATGACAATTTGTCTTAAACTTGGGGGCTATTGGCAAATATCGATCAAAATAATGATGAACACGCCAGTTTTTCATAGTTTTTTTTTTTGTGACTGATGGTAAAATTAAAAAAAGCTGGAAGAAAGGCAAACATATTTCTAAAAAATCCAGAATTCCCGCTTCCCGCAATTCTCACATTTCCAGCAATCGGCCGCAATACAGCCAGATTTGACGGGAAAAAAGTAATATTGGCAGCGCTGGTCCCCTGCCCAAAGTCCAGTTGATCGTTGCGAACTGCGTCAGCATTTTCTATATATGAGATCTCTCACTCTATCTCTTTCGCTCTCTCTCTCTTTCTGTCTCTTTGGTTGTCTATTTATCAGTGCAGTTTTGCTATTTATAGCTTTAGAGATACTGGCAGAGACTCAGATATAGGCGAGCGCGCAGCAAAAAGTGGCACGATATGACAAATTAATTGAAATTCCGACTTTTGATTTAATCAACGAATCGAAAAAGTTGTTTTTGTATTCCGTCTTGCTCTCTTGAATTCAATTCTACTTGTATGTCGCAGTAATCTTTCTTCGCAAGCACTACTTAGTTTCAAAAGTAATTGCTCTCTTTACTTTCATACTTCACCTTTTCAAAATACTTGTAGATAATAGATAGTTCTGGTCGAATTAAAGGTCATCTTCGTTTCGCCCTAAAGATGTTGGTCGGACACATTGTTGCAGGAAGGAAAAAATGAAGAATATGCTTTCTAATAGATTGCCAAAGGATGGGTAATTGGTATTCAAGATTTAGGTTTATAATTGTACTTGTACTTGTTTGGCCGACTATTTCTTTTTTTAAATTACTTTATTTATTGTTAAAATTTCCTGTTATCTACTTTCCTTTTTTTATATGTTATATATATATATATTTTTTTATATAATTACATTTTATTGGTTTATCTCATGTGTTTATTGGTTTTTTGCTGCAACAACAATTAGAATAGCCATAACAAGCGTGGAAGTAATTTAAAAAAATAGTGCATTTTCAGAGAAATGGCCATAAAAATAGAAATAGCGGAGCTCGCAAAAAGGGTATTTTCGTACGAACTTCTGCATTGTTCTGCTTTTTTTTTCGACAGCTGCCGCCCCAACAAAGTTCAAGGTTGGTCCTACGACTGCTGTTCTAGTTTCTGCGACGCAGCCAAAAGAAACACACACACACACGCACAGAGAGAGAGAGAGACAGAGAGGGAGAGAGAGAGAGAGAGCGTAGAGATGGGGAGAAAGTGGGAGGGAGAGAAAAAGCATAACACAATGCAACAAGAAGAACAACAGCGACGACAAAATATAATAGAATGCGGCTAATTTATACGGCTATTGATTTTTGTTTCCGTCAACAGCACAGCGACGACGCGTCGGCGAGTCAACGACAGCGGCGACACACGCTCCCCCTCCCCCGGTCGACCAACTTGTGCAGAGCCCATGTGTGGGAGGGGTGGTGGGTGGGTGCATGAGTGGGGTTGGGGGGCTGGCAGCGTTCGTGCAACGCATTTCTGCGCATTTGGCATGCAATTCTAGAATTGCTGTAGCCTCAGCAGACCAGTGTATAGAAATCTGTACACATGTGTGCGTGCGTGTGTGTGCTTGGGCTGTTGTGGGCGTGCCAGCCGCCCACTATTACATGGGCAGGCTGCTTGCGTGTGGCAAGCAGGCAACAAAATAATTGAATAGTGAAATGCTTTAAAGTTTGTTAATTTTTGTCATTTTATTGCGTTCTTTTTATTTGTTTTTCCTTTTTTTTTTGTAGAATTTTAAAATTTGTTTAAGGTATGTATAAAGCGGTCTTAGGAGTATACTGTGTATGTTTAAATTCCTTTATAAAATTAACAACTAACACATATTTCTCAGATACATATATTTATAGTTTTTTTTTGTATATTTAAAAAATTGTTTTCAATAAAAGTAGCACTTACGAATATTTACAATATTAAATATACATATGTATATGTATATAGTATATATAATTATATTCGTATAGATATATACAATATGTAATTTTGAAGTCTATTTTCAGCATTTCTCGCTTTGTTCGCGGCGCTTAAAATATATATATATATATATCTATGTATATATAGTTCTATATTGTCATCAATTAATGGCCAACTTATCGCAGCCTGCGTTTAATTTACATTTAATTCGTTTACGGACACAAAAAAAATTGTCTATTTTTATAAATATCTGCAACTTTGTTTCGATTCTCTGCTGTCTTTTTGTGTTTGTTGCAGGTTTTGTTTTTTGTTATCTTTTTTGACTACTGGTTGTCTGTCCCTCATAATGCAATCGGCAGTAAACAATTTTGTGAATTTCGATTCGTTTTGATTTAAGTAGAAATCTCGAATTTGCTTTCAAATCCGACTGTTTATTTGGTCAAAAGTGAGTTCGTTTTGGGCAAATAACCAACTATAGTATTAACTGTAACTACTGGGAAAATGTATGTATATATTTTAACAGTTATAGGTTCGGTAAAGCAATATGTGATTAAATCTTTGCTTAACTTCCTTTTTTTATCTGTGCTTTCGTTAAAGGGTTTCAAAGGGGCTGATATTGAACATTTTCTTGAGTAAGTCTTGGCATACTTTTTAAGAAAAACGGTCGAAAAAGTGAATCTAATTCGCATTTATTTTAAAAGTTTTCGTTAAAATGTTCTAGAACTTTCAGAGTCTCAACATAGTTTCTACTCAATACTGAAATGCTCTTTTACTCAATTCGGCTTAAACTGTTTGAATTTCAGTTAAATATCAATGACATATCAAAACATTAAACTTTTCAACAAATTTAAGTTGCAATAAAATTTCCAGTACCTGACCGACTGATTCGATTGAAACACTATTATAAGAATTTTTAAAACATGAATTAAAGTTCATTAAATTAAATTGTTTTGACAAATTTCGTTCATCAAAACCTTCATTCAGTTTCGAAAACTCTATTTAAGTTTTCAAATATGTTTCAACTGGGATTAACTTGAGTTCTGTTTTAAGGTTATTTTAAATTGGATGACAATTTTCTCAAAAGTCGTCGGTATATTTAATTACACTGAAATTTTTATTAAAGTTGAGTATGGGAGTTTGAGTTTTATGTTCTTAGCTGAAGGAATCTGTGAATTCTTTAATCACTAGAGTTTCAGTTTCGCCAAAAGTTGATTTTATTTTGGGTTAAAATTCTTTCATGATATTACACTTCTTAAAAGTTTTAGTAAATTTCATTTAAAAAGTTCGTTTATCCGAAATTTCGTTATGTTTTAAAAACTTTACATTGAATTACAATTCAATTTCGCAAAAAAAGGATTCAGTTTTTGATAAAAATTTGTTGGATTTCCTTGGAATCTTCATTAGGTTCTCAAAATCTTTGTTTCAAAAATAGGTAATTGTATTTTTCGATGGATAGTATAGAGTTGGTGTTATGTTACACCCAAAAGTTGGTCCCATTTTATAGGGAATCTGTTATGGAAATATTAATCCTCATTGTATAGTTAACTTGAATTATTTCGTTCAATTATTTGCACTCCTTCAGAACTCTACAAGTACTTTCGAAAGAATGTGTTCTTTATTTGCTGCTCTTTGCAATATCCTGGAAGCCTTGGTTATAACTACATATGTATGTACATATTTGTGAATATTTTCGGTTATTAGTTGGTTTTATATTCATTATCTTAAGTGTTGTGCAATGAAACAAAAATATTGCACTAAGTATATATTTTTATAAAAAAAAAGATTATAGAAATTAAGTACCCACATAATACAAATTGATTACCTTAACTAAATTATTAAAGAAAGCAAGCAAAACAGATGTACTTTTTTTTGGCTACACACAGCTACCAACTTACTGCGCCGATCCCGCGGGTTACGACGATTCCACCGCTAATGTCGTCGCCCTCAGTGCAACGACGACTCAGTTTATAAATAGCCAATGGCCCGCATCCTGGTTGGGTCTGCCAGCTGGCCGTTGGCCAATCAATTGGTAATGCGCCGCGCTCCGCCCAGCTCGTCTCCCCCTTCTCCCACGCCCAAGTCCAAGTGCAAGGCACATGATCGATTCGCTTAGCCTGGGGACGATGTTGAGCGACGCAGTCGCAGCTTTAAGCGGCTGCTACTGCTGCCGCTGCAGCTGCGCAGTCGACGTCGTCGCGTGGCATACGGGCTGGCGGTAAGATTGGCGCTGCTGCTAACGTCAAAGTCCAATTGCATGTGGGCGGCATGGGTGTGGGCTGACGGCGGTGTCGACGGCGGCTGCGGCGTCGGCAGATTGTGTGCTGTACTGAGCGCCAACTGCGAGAGACGCATTTGGCAGCGCTTTAAGCGCCGACCCAGACGACTGACAACGCTGTTTCGGCTACTGCCATTGGTGTCGCTGCCGACGCCGACAGCGAGACGCTGTACAGCGCTGCAGCTGCCAACGTCATCAGCATCGCCATTGTCGTTGCAGGGACCATTGTAGGTGGCGTAGTTATTGTTGCGGCCGGCGTCGACGTCGCTGCTGTTGCTGTTATTATTATTGTTGTTGTTGTAAATGTTATAATTTCTATTGTTGCTTCTTTCTCATGAACGTTTGCCGCTATCCTTGCGAAAGGATTTGCGCAGCTTGTCAACCAAACGCAGATGGAATTTGGTATAATCGTTGCTGCCAGCGCCGCTGCTCTGCTTCTGCTGCTGTGCTGCCTCTGCTGTCGCCGCTGCCGCCGCATGCCTTTCTAATGCTGACGTGGTCGGTGAACGACTTGGCGGACTACTGCTGCCGACGCCAGCTGCATAGGATCGTGTGGGCGACATCATTGTCATCATCGAGCCGTGTGAGCCGCGGGAGGCGTTGCGCGGGAAGGCACGCGATGAATGGCAGCGCTGCATTTGCATACGATGTGCGCCGACCTGACCATGTGCTGGCGACGTGGCGAAACTTTCCGATTTGCATTCGGACACCTTGCGGCGTCTCTGCTGTTGCTGGAGTTGCTGGGCAGGTGTAGGTGTGCCGAGGGCGGTGGCAAGGGTTGCGGTGCCTTTACCGCTGCTTGCGTCCGAACATTCAGATGTTTTGCGTGAGCGCGTGTCCTTGTAGATGTCATAGTTGTTTTTCATAACGGGCATCATGAACGCCATTTTGTTGCTGTTGAGCTTGTTGTTGTTGTAGGAACTGGAACTTGTTGTTAACAACACACAAATTTCAAACACTTGCGAAATACGACGGTTATTGGTTCGCAATAAAAAAAATTTTGCTATGTATAAATAATACAAATAATACTTTTATTTGTTTCACTCGTTTTTAGCGCCGCGTTTTTACTGTTGTTGCTGTTTAGTTTTTGCAGTTGCTTCTTTTATATGTGTATATACTATATACGCGCTTATATTTACACTCTGTCTTCTTCTTTCGCTCTGCCTCTAGTTCTTGGTTCAGCCGCCACGCGTTGTTTACAGTTCGCTAGTTCAACTCTGTTTGAATCGGTCGCCGTTCCTGGCTCATACTTATACTATCGTTGCAGTTGCCGTCGCAGAGAGCGCACGTGAGCGCTAGAGCGAGAGAGAGACAGTGAGAAAGTAGAGGCAATGGCAGCGTGAGAGACCAACGGAGTGCGCCTGCGCAATTGTGCGGGTCAGTATTGTCGTTTATGCGTCGTTGTAATTGCGATTTAGGTGCTTTTCGTGATTTGGCGACGAGTTGAGCTAAAAGCGTAAATTTCAAAATTGTAAATATATTACTAACAATATAATCAGTATTTGTAAGTAAATTTTCGACGAATTTGAAATACATACATAATATTGACGCATCGGTTCTTTATCGAATTTAGCAAAGAAGTATTTGATTGATCGCTATTAAGGTCTTTAGAAATCAGTTATATGTTAATATGTATGTATGTTTGTGTGTACATTATCTTACTTTGTGAAGCTTCCAATGCTCCTAAATATCAAATTTGTTTATGTATATAATGTGTATGTCTCGCATGTAGAATCATACGTCAACAAATTTTATTTTACTAATTCGAGTCAACTTTTAATGAAAAGTGTCGACAATTATCGGGTATTTCAAGCGTTTAAGAACAAAGCTAGTAGACAGTTAAAGTATCTAAAATGCCTTTAGATATCATAAAACAGTGCCGACTTAATTATCTACCCATGTTAAATATTTGTATACACTCTACGCAAAAGTATAAAACGCCCAGGGGTAGGCATGGCAGACCTCATGGTCGGTATAATGATATAAGCGCCAATATCTTGGCAAGCATTACAGCAAGATTAACCCAACATACCCAGTTGGGTTCTCCAATAATTATATTTTAATATTTGTATTTGATTAATTTTAATTTGCAAAAATTGCATTTATAATGTTTTTTTCAGCAGGAAATTAAGTTTAATTCTGCGTATTTTTAAAAGATACACAAATGATCAGAGATCCCATCTTATGAGTATGTACACGTATATATGTATATACTACCTGCGGTACATGTCTGCTCAGCGGCCAGTCCGCCTGTTTCCATAAAGTACAAATTTTCAGAGTCGTTCGCTAGACGTTCTCTCGTCGTTCTGTAAGCATTTAACATAATCCTTCGAATACGTATGTTCGTGTACTTACCTGAGTTGGAATTGTGTGCATCCCTTAGGTACGAGCTATAATTAGATTATTCTGGACCTTTTATGAGCTTACTTTACGATTTTCAGTGCATTTGTTGTGAACAGGTAGTCGAAACCGTTCCGCAGGTATTAAAAATGTTAACCTTTTCCTAATCAACATTAATAGCTACTTTTTTTTTCTAAATTTCGTTCGCTGCTGTCGGCGGTTGACATTTTACATTCAAGTTTTATCTCAAGATTTATATCATTTTTACTTTAGTTGCTGATGAAATAAATAAGTAAATAAATCTAGTGGAAAACTTGGTATATCCTGTAACTATGTGGAGAATAATTATACATATACATTTAAAAATAGTAAGCAAAATTGTGGAACATATGCAATCAACAAAGTTGTAATAAATAAACAATCTTTGCAGAACAGAGTTCAATCAAAGCAGCAGCAACAATACTAGCTGCTGGCAGAGCCTGTGCAGAGATTACATTAATAGCTTTAATGTTCTTATCAAATTAATTATTATATTATTTAATTATATTATTAAAGAAATGTCGTTACATTGTTGTATTGATCACATAATGCTAGGTGTGTTCAAAACTTTTAAAACTCCATTTTTTACATCCAAATTAAAGTTCTTTCATAATGGTTCCTTTTCGTTTGCTGCCACCATAAAGGATTTTGTAAACATCAATCACGGACGCTTTTCTTTATTGTTGCTTCTGTCATTGATTTGCGGCCCAAACTTTCTACATATTTGGGCAGTTTTTCAGCTTAACTGCGTCCATAAATAATAATAAATGATTTAAAAAACTTTAACTTTAACTTAACTTTCCATCCAATTTTCAAATACAGTTTTAATTCCATTTAGGCGTTTCCGAAATCCAGGCGAGCATCCAGGCAGACGTACAAACGGACATGGCTATATCTTGTCAATCAAGAATACATATATATATATATACATATATCCTTCTGTCTGTTAAATAATTTAATAATTTAAATATTTACATTAACTTATTGAAACAAATAATATATATAGACATTTTTTGTAAGCATAAGATAATTATTGTAAACAATTAAATATAAAATGTTGACTACAAAAGCATGGAAAATCGTTTGAGAAATAATGTCGAAAATTTGAACTTATTCATTTTCTTTAACCAAATAAAACATATATTTAACTTTCTAAAGTAAGGGCCTAATTATATTAATTGTTAAACAACAGAAATATGCAACAGCTCGTAAAAGTCGTAGTTGAATTCTATATTGTAAATTAACTTCAAATCATATTGTTTAGTATTTATGTATGTCAAATGCAATTGAAATCAAAATCAGCTTATACCCATAAAATACGAAAAATATAATTAAGTACTTAAACAAAATGTATCGATTTAAAATTTAACATTATTATGTAACATACTCAAGCATAAATATACAGTATATTAAAACTTAAATAAAATTTAAATTTTCGTTGTTGTTGGTTCTTTGAAGGAAATAAAGCAATTTTTTATTCTAATGCATATGGTAAGTATGCATGATCGATTGAAGGAACGTGCCTTACACATACACTCACTCGCATGTGGAAATTAAAAAAGTAAAAAAAAAATGCATCAAAACCGAATTTCAACCGAGTTGGCGGCGCTTAGCCAGAATTGTCTACCAGGTGAACATAAATGCGCAGTAGGCAAATGCATTGGCTGTTTATTAAATGCTAAGCAGCTGATTTTTGTTTACATTTCGGGATGCACCGTTAGGATCGGTTTGTTTACGTTCTTGTTTGTTTACTTTTCGAGCTGCAGCTGATTTTTGTATTTGTTTACATTTGAAATGCAGCTTGTTTACATTTTGCAACCAATAGGAGAGCCCCATTTTGTTTACTCATCGGAAGGCTCCGTTAGGATCGTGCAGCCATTGTGAACTAGAGCTTTTTGCGTTCATTCACAATTTAACTTCCACCCAGCTTGTTTACTTGCTGCGCATTTATGTTCGCCTGGTGTATGAGTGCATTTGGTGCATCGGAATTTTAACAGAAAAACCGAAAAATTAATTCCAACCAAGTTGGGCGAGCCTTTAACGACTTAAAAGCAGCCCTATCTACCAGGCGAACATAAATGGGCAGTAGGTAAATACACTGCTTGTTTACTTTATGTTGGACAGCTGTTTATTGTTTACATTTCACAATGCACAGTAAGGATCGGTTTGTTTACATTTAAAGTCCAACCAATAGGAGGGCCCCAATTTGTTTACTTTTTGAACGCCAGCTGGTTTTTGTTTACAATTGAAATATGGCTTGTTTACATTTCGCAATGCACCGTAAGGATCGGTTTGTTTACATTTTAAGTGCGACCAATAGGAGAGCCCCAATTTGTTTACTTTTTGGGGCGGCGCCGTTAGGATCGCTTTTTGCATTTATTTGGCATTTAAATCCCAGCCAGCATGTTATCTTGCTGTTCACTTATGCTCGCCTGGTGTATGAATACATGAAATGTGTGCAGAAAAAGGTGGCCGGCCCGGCCCTTCAAGTACTGCGGCATTCAAAAATGTTAATTAATTTTAAATAAATAAATAAATAAATCAGTTGCAGCGGCTTGATAAAAATTGAAATATAGTATATTTAATAGAAGTATTGAATTTTTTATTGCTTTGCAGATATTTTAGTAGTAGACTAGTAGACTAGGGATTTAAATCTCTTTAAATCTGTGTTTCGATCGAAGCGGCTTTGGAAAGGTTGAAATTCGCCACTACATGAATTGCCGTCCAATGTGATCCACTTCCATCTTAACAGATAGAGTGACAGTCTATGAAATGTTGAAATCGCTTTCCGTCTATCGTGATCCATTTCAATATTTGTAAATCTCATGATGGGCAACTGAAATCGATTGGCATATCATGTAACCTACAAAAACCTTAATTTAAAATATATACAAGTAATATGTGATTCGCCACTACATGGCTTGCCGTCCATACTTACTATGCTTGAAACAACAATGATGAAGAAAAATTGTGAAAGTTTAGACGTCAGCGTAAAATGCAAACATCGAATAGATAACACTAGTATCTAGTTAGATTTGCGACGGGTCTTAGAAACACGTTGTGATAAGATATTTAGGGATCTGGCCAAGATCAAGTGGAAGCCCCCACCTTAATGCAAAAGCCGTTCTTTTTTTTTGTTTAAATATGTTTTGTCACTTTAATGAATGGTTTCAATTTGTAATCATTTTTTTGTTTGGTTTTCATTCTCGCAATTGATTTTCTTCATCATGTATATATATTTCTATATGAAATTTTAAATAATGAAAGTGCAGATATATTTTTGTTTATTTTGGTTTTTGTTTTTGTTTTTTGCTCTTGAATGGCTAAATTTTTGGTAACAATTTGATTTTTGTTTTGGTTTGCTTATTAAATTTTTAACTTTTACATTTAAATGCAATTTCAACAACATTTTCGCGTTTCCGGTTCCATTTTCTTTTTCATTTTCCTTTTCATTAGTTAGTGTGTCGATTATAATAAATACATATGTAGTATGTATGTATGTATATAGCTCACAAAAAATGCATTTGAAGCGTTAACTGGCTGTGGCTGTGTATGGGTGTGGGAACGAAAAATCTAAATCGAAATCGGGGACAAAACTATATGCGAGTATATGGTTGTTGGGTTGCTGGCTTTTGGCTTTGTGTGTATGTATGTAGGCTTGTGGGTATTTTTCCATTAAATATAATATTGGTCACACTTGCAAATAGTTTGCACACAGATTTGTGTAATTGCCGAGATTTGACACTACTTGTAGAAGCAATGCCATCTTTTCTTGACTTATCTCAAAAGTGGGAAAACATGCATTTATTTTTATTTTATTTTTATTTTATTTATGAAGAGACGGCAAGAAAGGAGGGTTTGCTGAGATGATGAAATCAAACACGAAACAAAGGAATTAGATCAGGCATCAAGAGGTTGGAAGACCTCTGGAATAGGTGTATCGCTCTAAGGGCGACCATGTTGAAGGATAAAGGACAGGGATTTCGATCAAAAATGAAATTTTAATCGACGGACTCGAGGGCTACAAATGCATCGAATTTTTATTTGGGTGCAAATTATTTGCCTGTCTGACCATAGAATATGTATTGTTCAAATCATTGTACACATGTGAAAAGTTTCTCATAACTGTTCATATCATTATAATTATGCTTGCATAGTATATAGCCCGTATATACTGTATAGTATATATGTTTAAAGTGAATTTTTGTGCTTGTCTGCATCGGTTTTTTTTTCTTGGGGAAGGGCAGGGGTTCTATCTATAGAGAAAAAAAAAGAACAACTCCTAATATGCTGTTTATATGCTTTGGTAGTTCATAAGATCAATACGAAAGGGTTGGAGGGAGGCCTAGAGCCCTCTCTCTTCCTTTCTCTCGCTCTCTCGCGCTCGCTCGCTCAATAAGCCCAATGTGAGCTAGAAAAGAAAATGCAGGCTGGCCAAACAATTGCTCCACTGTGCACAGTGGTGTGTGTGTTTGTGTGTCTGTATCTCTTAGGTTACATTCAATATATATAGTAGTATGTAAGTACATGAAATATATTGCAAATTCATTGCTAAACTCGTAGGTTTTGCTGTGGAGCCTTGCTTTATATAAATTTAAAATGCTTTGTTTTTCCTCAACGTTTATTACATTTTGTTGTTGTTGTTGTTGTTGATGTCTATATGGTTGAATGTATGTTGTAAGTATGTATATTTAATCTAAGATTTAAATCGTTTTTTCTTCATTTATATGAATGTCCGTTGCGCTAATATCAATCAATTGTAATTTAAAGACTAGCTAAAGATTTGGGTTTTATGACAACTCGGTCTTAGTTATTATTCGAATTTTCCATTTCTTTTTTTTTTATATATATATATATATAAAATGTTTAATAATTTGTTGTTTTTTGTTTTAATTGCAATCGAGAGTAAAATTCATGAGGCATGACAAATTTGTTGAGTTTTCATCAAAAGACTAAGCTTATTTTGTTTTGCGAGGACAGCAGTTGAGGTTGTCACAGAAATCGTCAACTTAATAGTAGTCTAGGTATAGCATAACAAAAATGGATTACAATTCGCTAATAATTTATGCTAGGTGTCACAGAAAATGCAATTCAACTCGACGCATGGATGCCAGACATATGTATAGACTTGAGTTTGTTATCGAATTAAAGACGTTTCTTTCGATTCTCTCCAATAAACTGATACGTTTTTGTTGTGACTGTGTAACTAAAGCGATTTCTGTTATCAACCAGAGCTGCATTTGCTATCTGTTGTAAGGGAATTAGGTAGATAGGTATACGTAACTTATAGTGAGACTGAAACATGCTGGCAGTTATGTTGTTTTTGCCCTTTCAAGCCTCAAAGTGCAACTAAATAATAAACAGAACTGCATTTCGAATTGTATGCATAGTACGAGTAGCAAAAAGTCAGGCGCTCTTTAATACTATATATGGAGCTGGTAGTGAGTGCGGAAAAGTGGGTGTTACGGAACCACTGCCAAAGATTTCTTCTAAGCTGCTTAACCGTTCAGTCTTTGACTTTTCAAATGAATTAGCCGCACCCACAATCATCGTCTTTATAATCTTCCTCGTCATCTCCATCATCTCACCTCTCTATCATCTCCTTCATCATCCTTATTATTATCATCTTGTTCGACATTCGACTACTTTTGAGCTTTAACATAGTTTATGGCTGAGAGATTTGTCTGAGCTAAGATAAGATAACTACACAAACATCGACTTATAGTTAGGAGGATGTGGTACACATACCGATCATTATATTTTGAGATCACATAGAATTACCAGCAAAAACTCATGAGCACATGGGAAGGGTTATAAGAGGGTGGTTGAGTATTTTAACACGCATTATGGGGATCGTCAACTCTAGGCGGAGCAACAGAGAAGCCTCTGAGCGAACTGAGCTAACTTATCTCATTGGGAATTCCACTGCACTGTCCATCTGTCCAACATTTGTGCAGAGTCTACGTGCTAGGTATTATAACATACATAGTTTCTAGGTTTGATTTAAGGTTTCTCATTTGGTGTTGAAGGCCAAGGTTTGGGGTATAGGCGCGTCTGTGCATCATTATGTATACAGGTATATGCATATGCACGATTTAGAGTGGTAGTACGTTACGATTAAGTCCTTCCTATAAAAGTTACACTATATAGTATGTTAGTATGTATGTATAGTATATCGTATATGCCGTATAATTTAGCTAATAGAGTCGAAAAACAGAAAAACACAAGTACATATGTATGTATATATTAAGATTGATGCCCGGGCATCTCCAACGTCTTATTTAACAACCGCACTGCTTGAGGTACATTAAGGATTTGACGCATGTGCGGACACATGGCCACCATATAGTTCATATAGTTATAGTATGTGATGATCTGTTGTGCAGATGTCACGACTTAGGCGCTTACAATTATTTAGAGAATTCTATTCGGATAACTACCCTGAAGATGTGAGATACATAGGTAAAAAAAAAATCGCTTACATTCTATTATCGGGAAATTTACGATTTCTAGGACTTTGCGCAGCATCGCGACGTGGAAACTCCTCCGCCTGAAATCAAAAATAAAAAAGGAAATAAATATTGAGTAAAAATGTATGCTTTAATGAGAAAACTATTCTACTAAAGTTTGTTTGTACTTATAGCTTCATCTAAATACTCAAAATCTGCATTACGGCGACTAGATGGGATAAGGGACTAAGTATATAGAATAATATTCTCCGCTGAAAAGGTCAGATAAAAAAGTGACGTGAAAGATCGAATTCCATAATTTAGTTTCATTTCAATTAGGTTCATCTTTCAAAACATTATTCGGACTCATATTGGGTTTTCACGTAAACGTACTTGCCATTAATCTCTATAACAGCGAGTGTCACAGACGTCTCAAAAGACTCCCCCCGCTCGACCTTCTATTCCGGGTCCATTAGAGTTTCCAAATAACTTTTAATTTTAATCTTCATGTTAAATTAAAATAAATATTTCATATTTGCTTTTGTAAGATTCCACTATTCAAGGCACATGAACTTGAATTTAGTAATTGTTAGGACAGATCTTACATAAAGCCACAATTAAATGAAACATATATGTATGTATAATCAATCAGTTGGGACCTTTTCCTACTGACTAACTATAGGCTATACTATAAATATGTACATAGAATAATCAAAGTTGACTCTTAATTAATTGTTTAGCAAACTGAAATTTTAGTTGATCTTGAAGAAGCCTCCCAGATGGTTGTAGTGGAAAGACGTAGAAGGTTTTTAATTATAAGTTGAGAATACATCGTCTACGCAAAGACTCTAGTAAGTGGAAGAGACTACTTCAGTTGATGTGTGGTGAAGCTTCGAACATAAACATCCTAAAGTTTTAATTCTATCTTCTCCCAAATATGTAATTTCGTGGGATTAGTTATATATGAGAGCTTACCCGCGTAGTACCGCCTTTTCCGTTACTGTGACGCACAGGCCGGTCTAACTCCTCGCCTGTATAGCATCTGCAATTCAAATGTGAGAAGGTTTAGTATTAAATAATAGGTATTAATGATAGGAATATTCACTTCCTACCTGCTCTCCAAATGCGATGAATCATGCGCCTCAGGCTCGAGTAGTGGCAGCATATCCTCGCCCTGTTGCAGAAGGTCCACCGAGGCCAGAGACTCACTGCCCGTGCCAGTCCCCGTGCTGGTGTCAGCAGCGGCTGCTGTGGCCCCCAAGGACTCACCGCGCTCCGCCTCGTGGCACTCGCACTGACAGTCCTCCGGCTTCACGTAGTTGTAGTGCAGTTTGTCGCCGCCAGCTCCTGCGCCGGTTACATCTGGGGGCTGGCGCTGCTGGTGATGATGATGCTGGTGATGGGCATGCGGTGGCGCCCGGTGCCCGGTGCTGGCACAGGCGGACGTTGAGGCGGTGGATGCACCCGTGGTTGCCGTATTGGTGGTTGTTATTGTCTCCTTGGGTAGTGTGGTTATACGTTTGGCTGGCTTGCGTTTCTCGGGTATATTTTCAAAGTCGATCCAATGGCCGGAGAGCTTGCGTTGGGTTGAGCTGCTCGGTCTGGAGCGGGTTTGCTCCTCGGCGGCTGCGGGCACAGTGCTGGCTTTCGTCGTTGTGGTGGTGGTGGCTGCGCTTGCCAGCAGCTGTTTGTTGGAGTCCTTGCGCTCCAGATTGCTGGCGCCGGCGCGCAGTCCTTCTTCGGCAAACTCAAACCAGGACTTGCCACTGGCATTGGAAATGCGACGTGGCGACTTGGAGCTCTGCGCTTTGTCTTTGGCTGCAGAGTCCTTGCGTGGCAAGCTGATGCGCAACTTCTCACCGCGCACAGGTGCACTTGACTCGTGGGAAGGACCCGCGGTACCAGCACCCAGTTCGTGGCCAGCATTTGGTGCTTCATGTGGGGTCATAATGCCACAGTACTCCTCCAGATGCGAGGGGTTTAGGGGAGTAGTGGAGCGTGGACGGTCCACAGGGCAGGTTTTAAGCTCCATATTTGCACGTTCCTTCATTGGTATGAGCGGAACACCCTGAGCACGTTCCTCGGGCAACGTTGTGGGTATGTATGGTAGATCGTCGTCAAAGGACTCCTGCGAGACTAATCCAGTGCTCTCATGCTCCTCAATTAAGCAAACGTTTCGTGGGAAGTGGTGGCGTTTTGAGTCTCCGCTGGCACCCACTTGAACGGCCGTGGCCACGGATGAGCTGCCAGCCATGTCCGAGTCGCGTTCGCTCTCGGACGACTCGATGGGTTCGTGCTCGTCTGTGGAGTGCCGTTCGAATTGGTGTTCCCGGTCCTGTTCCTTGTTAGGTGGCGTAATGACAGCTTGAGGCATAGACGCTACCATCGTTGGCGTGGTGGGTGTGGTTCCACTGGAGCTTCGGCGCGTTGGCGTTGACGCACGTGGTGGCTTGGTGGGCGTTGGTGTTCGTCGCCGTTCGACAGGCGACTGAGATTGTCCGCGTGATGAGAGTGGCGGTGAGGGCGACGGCGCTGTACTGGGTGGCGGCGGTTGTGGCAGTGTGGGACGACTTTTGGGTAATTCCTCCGGCTCAGTTATGCTTTGACGCTTTGGCTTTCGGGGCACGTTCTCGTGGTACTTTTTGCTCACATCAAAGTTCTCCAGATAACGTGAGTGCCGTACGTCTGACAATGGTGCTTGTTCCTCCTCCGAGTTGGAGTGAGACTTGTGCTTAGGTCGCATGACCACAGCTGCTACCACGGTGCTCGGTGACGGCTGTACTTGCTCCTCTTCCGAGCTAGATACAGTACTTTTTTGGTGCTGCTGTTCAAGCCCAATTTCCGTGCGTCGTATGACGGTTCCCTGACGTTGCAGACCATCGTTGGTGCATTCGGATGCCGTGGAGCCAGATTCCTGAACCTGCTCCGACAGCTGACTGGACTGGCTCTCTGTCTTGGAGATACTGAACTGAGTTGAGAAGAGCTGTTCCTGACTGCCGGACCCTAGACGTGTGGCGAACAGTAAACGTCGACGCTCTTTGGCTACTGGATCATCAACAGGAGCATTGACAGTGGCCACTGTTTCGACCAGACGTGGCTCGCAGGCACTCTGCGTGCTCTCCACAGAGGGAAGGCGATGAATTTCGGTCACACAGTTTTCTCTTGCCACATGCTCAGTCACCTGCGCTAGGTTGGCGGCACGCGCACTGACCACGGAGGTTACTGAGTGTAAAGTTTCTTGTGAATCCTGTGAGCTGTGGCGTTGCACCTCCAAACTCCAAGCGCGATCCTTATTGTCCTCATCTGCGGGCAGAGTCTGAATTGCATCGAGATTCTCGATGCGTTGCTGATGTGCCGGTCGCGCCTGGACCGCAGCCTGTGTCTGCATAGTTCCGGAGCCTTTTCGTGGACCGACGGGCTTTAGCGCTGCAGCGGCTGCTGCCAGCTGGCTAGCTGTGATGGGTGCGCCAGCAGCGGCCGTTGCATGACTTGGCAGAGGTGGTGGCGAGGGTGCACTCGAAGCAGCTGCTGCCAACTGCTGAATCCCCTGCAGGAGGGTGCGTGCTTCCCGCTCCTCTGGGGGAGTGTGAAGCGGTATGTGTATGACGCCCTCGACAGGCTCATCGTAGTACCGTAGTCGGCTATTCGGTCGCGAACCGGTACTCGTAATAACCGGGGTGCGGCTACGTCCAGGCATCGAAGGAGCCGGAGGTGGCTGTGGTTGCATTTCGTATGCGTCAATGGGCGAAGAGCTCTTGGAGCTCTTTGTTCCATCTGTGCCGGCACTGCTGCCCCGCTTGCCCGGCTTGAAGATGGCCAACACTGACTTCTGCTTACTGGGCGTTACATTTTGTGATTGAGGCGTGGGTCGCTCCTTGCTTTTGCTGCGCGACCGAGAGCATTCGCGTGGTGAATCGGGCGAATCCTTGCCACCGCCCCCACCCAGGCGAAAGAGTGAGCTGAAGGAGCTCTTTCGCGACACACTGGTGGTGGCGGGAGAGGGCGAGCGGCTGCTTAGTCGGGCTGCATGGCGTGCCGGCTTTGGGCTGGCAGTTGGCGTAAGCCTGTGTTCGTCTACACCGCCGCCCTGTAAGCTGAGTGATGCGGGCTTTGGCGTGGCAGACTGGGCGCTCTTGGAGTATACGGGTGTCAATTGGTTGGGCGCCTCCACCACGCGTTCATTGGCTGCAATGCCTTTGTCACTGTACATGTGATCGGGACGCAAATTAATGCGTATATACTCCGTGCCGCTGGGTGTTTTGCCTATCACCATTTGGCCTGGACTCTTGGTGCTACGCCGCTGAGCACCCATGCTGGGCGCGGTCATGTGCTTTGCTGTCTTGGCTTCGCCATTGGCGAGAGTTGAAGGCTTCGATTTGCGCCCTGCAGCTGATAAATTCTCCACCTGTATTCCCTCTGCCAGCACCACTTGGGTGGGATCATGCTTACGTGCCAATAGCACCTGCTCTAGCAGTGCCGTGTTGGCAGTCGTCTCGATGCTCTGTATGGAACTGGGCGCCGTTGAGGCATTGCTGGCGCCACTCGCTGCACCGTCAGTTCCATGCTCCAGTGGCTTGGGTCCACAGAATGACGTCTCGAGTAGCATGCGATGGGGAGATGGCGAGCGGGAGACACCAGACACGGCAGAGAGGCGGCTGACGGCAGATCCCTGACTGCCAACGCTGGATATACGACTCGTTCGACCTGAAATGCAGAGCAAGGCGGCTACCTCGGAGCTGGCAGAGTCTTTCCGTTGATGTTGTTGCAGGTAACTTTGATGATCGTCGAACTTAAAGATGTGCGGTGAGGAGCGCTTGGCCTGTGGATTAGAGAAGCGATGCTGTGAGTAAATATGCAACTGGTCAACAGTGTCCTTATATTGAGAGCCCCCACTAAGCCGCAAGCGGCGCCCTTAGCGCCTTGTTGAAGGCCCTCCAAATGGTCAATTGTTGCAGTCCGGATAGGCGCACTCGGCTGCTTCGTCTTGCGTTACTAATCGATGAAATACCAAATGTGCAATAGGCTTTTCAGAGCATATACGATACGATACGAGAGATAGATAGATAGAGAGAGACAGAGAGAGAGAGAGAGAGAGAAGGAGACATGTTTTGAGGGGAAACGGTGAGTGGGGAAAATACACCAGAACATGCGACAAAAAGTAAATGATTGCGGGTTTCGGGTGTTTACGGGTGTCTCTCTTTGAAGGTTCAGTGCAAGGTCGACGACATGCCAAGCATTCGAAAACTTCTGCAAAATGTGAAATGCAAATTCAATTAAAACGATGTGTGGCAAGTGGTGGGTGGTATTCCATGGCAGGTCTGCAGTGATTCAATCGAATTGGTCAACTGAAAATCGCTGCAATTACGTTGATGACGTGCCTCGAAATTAGTTTGCTTATTAGGGCGAAAAAAGAGATGCCAGGCTATGCTACACCATAATCCAGAGCTCGTTTCAGGTATTCTCAAAACTGCCTGCCACTCGAGCGCTGTTGATGTCAAAATCCATGCCTGAGTTTTGGGGATTTAGGCTTAACAAGAGGGACTTGTCTCAGGAAGAAAACGCCGGGTCCCTATTTTGATGAGCAGATGATCTTCTGTTTAGTATGTAGACTAACCATTCCTCTTTCTGCACCCTCTACGTTCAGAATAATAATAAGTCAATTAGTTTAATGCCTGGATTGCGATACAGACGGAGGTGGTGCGGGTTTTTTTTAACCGAATTCACTTTTGGAGTAAAATAAAACTTGCTGCTAAGGTTTTGAAGAGATTGAGGAACTCATTGAACTGCTGGTCATGGAGTATTCCTTGAACAACTGTATTGTAGAACTGATTATGCATCTCACAATCCTTTTCGGGTTTATTATTCAATTAATTTGGTAGATTCCGAGAGCTAGGGCATACATATAGTGCATTAAAAAAAAATTGTTAAAATGTTTAGGAAAACAAAAACTTCTTGCTATACTTTTTATATTCGGTATCATTTGAATGTGCATACTTGGATAAGATTTTTGATAGGCTTTTGATATTCCCAGTTGAGATCATTGAAAAATTAAGCAAAAAAATTACATGTCTGTGTGGATAATTGTTGTATATACTTGTATGATTTACAATGAACATTTTCACCTGCTCTCAACCGTACTGTCTCTTCCCTTGATAAAAGCCTCTTTTTTTAGCCATCTCGAAATCTTGGGAATCTCTGATCAGGAACGGCTGCGAGACGGGGTCAAGCTTGCCGGACTGGCTAACAAATCTTCCCCCACCGCGTCTGAGATTTTATTTTTGTCCGCCTTTTTTGCGCGTTTTTATTTATTTTTTATAAAATTCGCTTTTTTTTATGTTAATTTGTTTCTTTTAATTTGATAGATCTTTTGACGCCTCTGACCACACTTGGCTATGAGTCTAGGGATAGCTAGCCGAAAGGCAAATAATGTGCCCCCAGCGAGTCGGAGGCGTTTATTAGATATTATTGTAGCTTGGTTAGATTTCTCCTGCTAAGGCTTTTCTAAAACTTTTATAATTTCTTTTCTTATGTCGACAGCCATTGTTTGTTGACATAAAAATGAGGCTCTCTAAGGTTGCCTACCCCTAATTTTGTAATTTGGTTAGATTTGTCCTGCTAAGGCTTTTCTAGCTTATAAGGCGTTCAAATATAATAAAATATAATAAAAGTCTTCCTCATACAATGTATTCCTACTTTTTTCTTTAATACTGTATAATGTACATACAAAGTTAGCTGAATGCCCTAGAAGCCATTGCTAACATACTTGTAATTTCTTCAGTTAGTTTTAAGATTTTAATTTTAAGCTAGCATTATATATAGAAAAATAATAATAATAAAAGTCTTCTGTAAGGTTCCCTACCTTCCTCAACCCCATTTGGGCTCAAAATCAAAGTGAATTCCTGAAAGGTCCATCATGTGTAAATTCTGCCTTCTCAGAGCAGCTCACTTCGATAGAGGGAGCGACCTTTTCAATTAAGGCAGCTACCTACTCCATCTGATTTGCTACTTTCCTTGCATCGGCCCGTAGAAGTCAACGCGTAAACTGTGCCACACACACACACACACACACACATTCACGTACGTGCCGCACAGACAGAGGAGCTGCAGCAACAGTTAGCAAACATTTTGTTTTGATTATTTGTACGCGCAAATTGAACTTTTCACTTGGCAATGAAGAAGGCATGGTTGTTGTGGCAGCAGTCGGTCAAAGATTGGCGGCGCAGCGTCGCCTTCTCAATTAAAAGTGGCGCCACTCTCCACTTTCCACCAGCCACTGACTCCTCCCGAATCCATTTTACAAAAGTTTCGCGCGCTCTAATCAATTGCAACTGCTACGCGGCACTTCTCTGTCCTCGGCAGGATGCGCGTCGAGTTGTTGCAAGAACTTTTTGATTGCATTAAGTGTTTGCGCAAAACCCATAGCACACTTTTCAACATGAATTGTGGCAGCTGCTGTTGCTGCCACTGCTGGTTGGCTGCTTCGTTGGTTGGTTGGTTGGTTGGTCGGCTGCCATTTTAAAGTTTGTTTGGGGCTAGGTTCCCAGACGAGCAGAGTCGTACCTGGCCGGTGGAGCTCTAGCACGTCAGTTGTCATGTCAGCAGTTGATCCCACACAAAGCACCCAAGCACTGGGCGCCAAGCAAGGACCACCCAGTCCTGGCCTAGTGCTACCTTTACTTCCGTTTGTGTTGTGGTCGGTGGCGACGACCTCCCTTCCTACTGACTACTGCACTTGCCAGGCTCAATTTTGCATTATTAATTTAGGCTTGTTGTTGTTGTTGTTGTGGTTACTTCTGCCACATCTGGCATGCTTACTTGCCTGCTTGCCTGCCTGCCTGCCTGCCTGCCTGCCTGTTTGTGCTTTCTTTGGCACATCAATGTCACGTTATTTCAATTTCCGTTCCGTCATTTCCTTGCCAATGGCATTGGTTGCCTGTTCTTGTTGCTCCTGTGGTTCGTGGTTCGCTTTATAAAGCGAAGCAACATTGCGAGTGGCAGGAATGAAAATTCAAATGAAATAACTAACAACTTCTGCTGTCGGACAGCTCATAATCATGCTGTTCAGATATCAAATATTTTCTTTGCCATTTCACACAGCTTCCAATCGAAAGCAAATATAGTACATATACATAAGCTATGGATTTATTAGCTTTCTCAGCCTTTATGCATTCGACACTGTTTTGGCAAATCACATTCAAATGAATGGTTTCGTAATTAAGATAGGGATATTACAATTATTAACTAGTATTGCTAATGCTGGCTATCTGAAGTGTGCTTGAGACGCAGCGAAGGGAAAGCAACATCGAGAAATCTTCACTTAAGTTAGACAAACAAGGCTCCTTGGGGTATTCATTATTTTTGAAATGAAACTTCATATGTGAGCTTTATTTGAATGCTGGATCGGCAACCTTTTCTGTGACGAAACCAATAGCACGGTAACAGACGTAGGTTATGGTTTTTAGGAGTCGCTGTTACTTGTTTTTTTTCCCCGTTTCTCAGGAATGTTTTTTATGCGAAATCGAACTATGCTGTCTGAGACTCTTGAAAGCTAAAAGCGGGTTTTTATAGATTTTTATAGTGATGTTTCTAACCATTTTCTAGCGGGTTTTCTTTCTATTTGGGTTTTCTACAAATTTCTAGAATTATTCCAATATAACCATTAAGTTTCACTTCTATCGCGTGTCACCCTGACACACACTTAATTTTATTACTCTAAAGATACAAAACCGGTTTCCAAATATTGAAACAGTTCCCCAAGTGGATTGATTTAAAATTATGCTTTAGCGAAAGTCGAACCAATAAAAGCATTATAATGGGTCTTCACGGCCTAAATATTAACCCAACCAATTGTCTACAATCATAAAAGCTAAGCAAATATATAGCTGGGGTATAGCTGGGTAGAAGATAAGAACCAATATTGTCCACAATTGTTCGCGATAAGAGGATCATATCAATGAAGAGGTCAATTTATTGCCTGATATTCTACTGCATACCATAAAACAAAGCTAGTCTTATTCCAATACATATTCGTACTCAAAGCTGACATAAGCGTCGCATAATTTAGGAAATATATCTTCAGCACATTATGTTGGTCTGTCGCTAATCAACATTTCAATAATAGTGTGGTGAGTCAACGTGATGCGCTGGGTTTCCGAAATCGAAAGTGATTGTCGCTTGTGTCATGAGCTGCCAGAGAACATGCCACGAATTGTGACAGCAACGAGCATAGAAAGCTTTTTTAATGAAATTGAATTGTTTTCCAAACAAATGCCAGAGTTCATGTAAAGAATGTGATGAATATATTTGGGGGCCATCAAAGAAAAAGTAAATGCAATAACTAAATACATATTTGGTAAAAAATTGTTCTTCAGAATTCAGGCCTGCTGTGCTAGAAGACATCATTGGTTCCACTCCATTACCTCATTCGTTGTGAAAAAAGCTTCAATATTTGGCCAAAGCCCCTAAAAATGTGCATTGATCTTCAAAGAAGATAGCATTAAAATCCCTTTATCTGGGTCAGGCATACATTTGAATCATACTGTAATTCGCACAGAAACCACTTTCTTTAGCAAGGGGTCACCAAATGTTTACTTGTATACTAAAGTGACAAAATCAATCTCCATTAGCTCAAATGATTCACTGATGTTCCCTGTAGAGGATTTTCATAAACACTTAAGCCCCCACACCCCGCTCTACTTACCTGTTGTTGCTGTTGTTGTCGTTCCTGCTCCTCCTTTTTCTGTTCGGGATCCATAAAATAGAGCTCCTCGGTGGAGCTGCGCAGCTCGAGAGCACCTTCTTCGCGAAAGCCAAGACCAATTGTTTCCTGTAGGGTGCCAGTGCCGACCTTCATAGCATTAGTTTTTGCGTTTACCACCCAAGACATAAAGACACACACACACACACATATGCACGCACGCACACACGCACGAATACATACAAAATTTTGAGATATTTTTTGTTTTAGTGAATTTGTAGTTTTAAGCGAAAGCACGTGAGGAAACCAATTCGAGGGCATTGCATGAGCAAGCGGGTCAAGGAAGCATTCGGAAATGTGTTACAGCAGGAGGGGGAATACGAATTGAAGGCGTGAGGGGTGGGGTAGGGGTAGGGGTAGGTATTGGGGTGTGCCATGGGAAAAAAGCAAGCAAATAAGCGAGTGAGAAGTAAATCAACAAATCAAAAGCCAATTAATTTTTTTTTTTCGGTGCAGTGCGTTTACAGAAGGCCCACAGGTGCCATGGGTGTGTGTGTGTGTGTGTGGGTGCGAGTAGGTGTGGATGTGTGTGTGTGTGCAAGGTGTTTAGAGAATTGTATAGAACGCATCATAGAGCCAGAGAGCGTGAGCGAACAAACGAGCGAGCAAGAGAAGGAAGAGAAAGAAATAAAAAAGAACAAAGTAGAAATAATTAGCACAAAATGATTTTAATTCTCTTTTTCTTTTTGCTTCTGTTTGTTGTTGTTGTTGTTGGTTTTAATGTTTCCCCGCTGCGCCGTTGACGTTGATGCTTGTGGGTGGGCAGCGCTGGTGAAGTTGTGAACGGTGTTATAGCTGTACTAGTTGCTGTTCTTGTTGTTGTTGTTGTTTTAATAAAAATTTGTAGTTGGTGGCAACTGCTCTACAAGCTGCTCCCTCGCTTGATAGCTTATCTAAGGCGCTACGTTTACGCACTACTTGCATACATTTAAGCCAACTAAGCGCGCTACAGATGTGTCAATTATTTCCATTCATTAATAGCCCCCAAAAACCTTAACTAAAAGTAATACTATGCATTCGGTAGTTTAGTTGAGTTAGTATCATTCCATTTTTTCTTTCGATAAATTGTTTTCACAATATGATGCTCTTGAAAACTGAACAAGTTTCCCCCAAATAAGGTATACATTTGTTACCATTTTTGGTGGGAAAACAGTCTTTTCTTTCGTTCGATTCTCTTCGACTCAACTATATATGTTGGTGGCTAACCAGAAAACTGAAATATAGCTATAATCACTCTCGCACTCCGTTGTCTATATTAACCATTTCCCCCATTTTTAACATTTTTTATTTCCGTGTTAACAAATCTGCCTTGTTTAATTTCTTTTCCGTCACTATTTGGTGAAATTTCAAAAAATTGTATGTAGAAATGTCTATCTCAATAGCTAATTTATCAGTTTTACCCCAATTGTGGGTTGAGTTTACCAAAACCACTTCGATTTGAATATATAGTATGCACAATATAAACGACAAAGAGAAAGACTTTTAATATTATGCATATATTGTTGCAGGCCAGTGGCCTCTCTATCATTCTAGCGGCCTAGTTCCCGTTCTTATGCCACGGTTTCTCACTGTTGTAACGGAAAATACTCTCTCTCGGGCTGCAAGAGAGCTGCCTGCAAGCAGCGACGAATTAGTCTTTACCCTTTTATTCTCCCACAATAAATATACATTTGTTTTCATTTGGGGAATCTATCTGCTTGGATTAAATTAACTCACATTTACGATATACTAAGTAGTTCAGAAACTGTAAAGGTCTTTGAGCTATTGTGAATGGAACCCTCAGCGACACAACTTTTCTAACTATATATAAGCACCCATCTCTTCTACTTAACACGTGTGTACAATATTAGAAGTACATAGTTCATTCACACATTCTCTCACCTGCTCAAAGACATTTTCCGGACTACTGTCGCGACTATCTTCCTCGTGATGCGATGAGGACGAGGCACGGCTCAATTCAATGCGAGGCGTTGAGGGCGTCGTTAGGGTCGCTGTGCCACGAAAATTGCTAACGCCTGCCACCGGAGGCATGGGCTGACCGCCCTCATTGCTGCTGACGAGCGTTGTGGTTACCGTTGTTGTTGCCGTTTTCAGTGGGGGCGGTCGTTGCTTGGCTACCGTGCTGATCGCCGTGGACGAGCAGGTGACGGACGAGGGTGATGACGAGGAGCTGCTGCTGCTTTGTGTGGTGGACGCTGCAGTTCCTCTTCCTGATATGCTGGGTGCTTCGCTGGCGCTGGTATTTGTGGTACTCGTCGTCGTACTGCTTATCGTCGTCGTTGTTTTCGTTTTGCTGCGTAGCGCCACTTTGCCGCTTGCCTCCGATGTGGCCATCATCTGGAAAAGAGAAATGTGGTTGGCCTTTTAGCTAAATTGTGTGACTAGTTAAGCTTTTGAAGAACGTAGACTATATATATCATGAAATTTCGAATCGATACCGCCTGTTCCCGAAGCGGGAACTAGAATGTCCCAACTTCAAGCGTATATAACAGGCAGAAGCAAGAGTGGCAGCGCCCATGTGTTAGGCTCAAACATGACGAGACCGATTGATATAAGTATATACTTACATAAATAGTATATGCGGGTCTGTCTGTTCGTCCACCTGTTCGACTGTATGATCCACTATAATTTTCGAACTGAAACTATTAGGCGCACCAAAACTTGGCATGTAGACTTGTCCTATACATACACAGTTCATATTTATCACAAATCATATAAAGCCTCATTATTTTCTATAGCTGCCATAGACCTAAATACAAGTATGTAGCTGCCCATGCACATAAAAATCAATATTAGTATGAAACATTTTTTGTCTGTTGAATATATCTTGGGAAAATGTATTTTTAGAGTTCATTGAATTCCTTCAAGTTTCATCTTAATCGGCGTTCTGTATCTGATAGTTGTTATACTAACGAGCGGTGTAAAAATTACTCTACACTCATGGTAAACAACATGATATCTTAAGCACCTGTATATTGGTGGTATTGGATTGTGCAGCTTGTGACAGGCTGAAAGAAGCATTTCGAGCCCCATTACGTGTACACATACTATATATTCTTAAGCAGCATGTCGTGACGAACATTTTTAGATCGTCCTTCTGGATGAAAGTCTGATTTTTTGGACACAAATGAATCCCCATTAATCACACTTGGTATGTCCAGTCTTCTCTTAGTGCCAAATTTCGTCAATATTGGCCAATGTCCGTTAGTACTATATATGGACTTCTATTCAAATTGTATCCAAATCTGTTAGCTCTAAGAAAAGATATTAGTGTTGCAATTCTTCCCCCAAATTGAACACAAGGATCGCTATTCTTCTTCTTTTTGACATTGCATATAATTTAGTGCCAGAAGTGTATTTTACTGTCAGGTTCCCTCAACTTTTTTGAAAAGCTTTTTCAAGTATTCCATCGCTGGCCACTAATTTTGATAACTATTTAAGCTATTAAGATATTCCATCGATTCATTGGTGGATTTTTAATGGAGAAACTGAGATCAAGCCATGATTTGATATAAGTACTTAGTTTTGGCTATCCCTAAAATGGGTAACACGTGGTTGTTATAAGGCGTGTGTCTCAACAGCATCCTAGAGCTATACATTGAACTGTTTAAAGTGAAAGCAAAGAAGTTTTGAAATAATTTATACTACAAGTATATAGAAGGATTTACCGATTTGTAAATTAATGTCTAGTCTACGACGAAAAACACATTTTCGGAAATGTTTCAACCTTCGAAACGAGTCCGAATGAGCACGATTTTCGGTTAAGTGAAAAGTAAAACTACAAGTATGATTTCGGTATAAATTGTATATTTTATGAATTTAGATGATTCTAATTACATAAAAAGAAGTACGTTTCAGTGTCAAGCAGATCAACTTCAGAATGAAACACTAAAATGATTGCAAACGATTTTCAAAATATAAATGCAAGTAAGAATATGATTTTGAAAAAAATGAAATGTAACTTCCGTTTAATTAAAAGAGTTGCAGATTCGACGCGAAACGCGAAATAAATGAATATCGATTTTGTGAAAAGGCAAAGGCGAATGAGTGTACGAATAACTCAGTTTTCGCCAATCGATTCAAGGAGATTCGATTCCATATGAAATGAAATCAAATGATTTGACACAAATTTTCAAATCGCCACACAGACACACTTAGCCCACAGATGAGTCCATTGCTGATGCTGTTGCTGCCTCGGCTTCAGTGAAATGGGAGCACACTCATACACTCATACACCCACACAGACACGCACATGTATATGATGTGTGTGTGTGTGTGTGTGTTTAAGTGAAAATTTGTGCCACAGCTGCTGCCGAGGCTTCGAGGCTTCAGCTTGAGCTTCCTCTCTGCGGCTGACGCTTCCAGTGCTGCTCCCATTCAACATGATTTCCTTTTGGTTTTCGTTACATGTGATTTTAATTAAAAGCATGATTTGCTTTCGCTGCCCTTTTTCCCCATTGTACAAGAACAACACATACTACTACACATCATAGATAAGTGTACGAGTGTAGTAAGCGATTGTGTTTGTGTGTCGCAACTTTATGTTGCACTGTCATGCTCTGTCCGGCCGACCTCGTTAAACATTAAAAAGTGTACGAGTAGTCGTACAATTCCAGCTGCAAATTCACTTTTTCTGACCCCATACAATATTAATTCGGCATTCGAGTTTAAATTCTTCAAGTAGTTAGAAGAAGCAGCGAGCATTAAGGTCTTGAATAACAATGGGAGCGGTATGGTGGAAAACAAAAAAGTTAAAGGCTTTCATAAATTCACTTTAAAGACTCAACAGGGCTGCTCAAAACACTGGCGAAAAATGAATATCGAAGGATTGAGTTTGATAAAAAGCTATAAGTATAGCACAATATAGGAACAGTTAAATCATATTTTCTTTCACAGCTGGATTGACCAGCAAAAGAATATGCTCATAAAGTACATGCAATATAAATGTCTGTAGAAGATGTTGCTTTTGTACCTAGAAATGCTGGGAATTATTTGCATAAAGAAGAGTTCGGAACGAAATTCTTTTCGCCGAAGAATTAGCACTTATGACTCCAAAACTAACTCCTAACTGGTGATTAATTTTTGGTTAAGCCAATTAGAAGAACACTTGTTTTTTGAACACCTTGAACTGATAACCTTATTATTAAAGAAGAGAGAAGAATGAAGAAGAGCGCTGATTTGCAATGATTTACTTTATGAACGTCCGATATTTAAGAACATAGCTTTGCCTTATTTGATAAAAGATGTTCTTCGATTAAAAGATTTAAAAGGTGATTGGATGATGACATCGGAAAAATCTTTAATTTAATTTGTTGAGTTGAAGAAAATAATTGGTAGTAAAGAGGAAAAGTTCATTTCAACGCAGTGGGGTGACAATCCAAGCATCCTGTTGAGTGATGAAATCATCACTAGTTAAGCAACATATGCTGGAGTAAGCCACAGGACACACATGTTGTCCAAAAATGTGTCATCACCAATCTTAAGCTGGTATTTAGCAATGCTGGCATTATTGGAACTTTATTTCTTAAGGGTAAAAGGGGACAGTCATTGGAAAGTCAAAATGTTTGTAACAGACAAGCAGGTGTAGGTATATACTATGATCAACAATACGAGATGATAGAACCTTGTTTGTCTGCCCGTTTGTTTGCCTGTCCTTCTGTTCGACTGTATGAACGTGCAGGACTCTTAAGTCAAAACAGCTAGCGACACCCAACTTGGCATGCAGACTTCTCTCATACAAATGGAGATTAAGCTTAACACAGAACACACTTGGCCTCATTATTTTATATAGCTGCCATAGGAACTTTATAAAGATATCTTAAGCATATTAGGTATTTATGAGTTTTGTAAAGTTTGACATTCTAGAGTGTTCTAAAGTTTTATTTAAACCAAGTATTATATACATAGCTGCATAGAAATGATCGCGTCAGAAATAGAGCTTTGTACCAGACCATTTTCCTATTTATTTTGATAATTTTGTATTCAAAAGCTTTTTTATACTGCCTCACAACAAACTGAAGTATTGTTGAAATCGGTGCACTAAGGAGTGATTGCCCTTGTAATGGGGTGGAAGTGTGGGTAGAGGGTATTCAAGTGTCGTGCTGGCACGACTTTAACGTTATGCTTGTGTTGTTGTATGTGTTAGCTTTGCAGTTAAACATAATTTAGTTGAGATGAATGGTGTTAATGGAGGCAAAGAAATTGCGACCTTGGGAGGAAATGCAAAAAAATTTCAACACTTCAGATGTGCGCCATGCAGGCGGCATGCTTAACGCATTCAAGGCGAAGCCTTTGCGCATTTACACGCATACGCACACACGCATACACACACACAGCTATAGGTGTGATTGACACATGGCGCTCGATTGTCGCGAACGGGACGAGTAAAAATGTTTTAGTTGACATAAAGCAAAAAGCACGCGCACATTGTCTGTGTGAGAGTCCTTGGGACAGAAACGCAAACACAAGCACACGCATACATGCGAACGTATGCAGACTAAATAAGTTTAGAGCAGCATGAAGCTGCTAGCGCTTAAAACTATGCTATGCTTTGCGGGCAGCGGCTCCCAGAAACCGCCCCCCTTCCCCACCCCCTCTACCAACCACCTCACGCCTCACTGGGGCGTGTGTGTGTGTGTGTGTGCGTGCCTTTTAATTGAAAGCCGCATACATAAAATTTTATTAATTAAATTTTAAATCACAGCATGGCACAAACAAACAAAGTACTGTGCGGCTGTGTGTATGGGTGTATTGTGTGTGTGTGTGTGAGGCACCGGCTTGGGTTGCCATGGACGCGGCGGCGCTCGCTTGTCGTTGTCCAAAAATTGCCTTTTGTTGTTTTTGTAGGGTAGTACAGAGAGGAAAACGTTAAAAGCTATGTGTAGAAAGGAAACGAAAATGAAGCAGAGGAGAAGGAAACGACAGAAAGAAAGAAACGTGTGCTCGCATTTTTTCGAGGCATCGAGGCAGCAGTAAAATGGGCGTACACACACACACACACATACATATCTGTTATTATTTTTGTTGTTGTTGTTGTTGTTGTTGTTGTCGCTGTTGCTGTTGCTGCACAGGAAGTGCCATAATTTGTGTAATTAAATTAATTGAAATTTAAATAAAAGTGACACACACACAGCCACACAGCTAGACGCTGTTGTGCAGCGAAACTTGTCCGCATGCTGTTTGTTTTTGTTGTACAAACACACGCGCACACGCACACGCACATGCACACACACATACAGACCGAGACACACATATACACACAACTCAGTTGCAACTCACCGCGTGTCAGAAATGCTGCCTTTAGCTAACTTTTTAAGCTTTTCTCGTTTGAATATATATATATTTTTTGTTTTTACAACTTTCTTTGCTTTTTCCTTTTTCCTTTTTTTTTTTTGATAATTCCTCACTTGGCCTTATGACAATTTATTTGGCAATTTTTCTTATTTAAACTTTCACCAACAAGCAAAAAAACAAACTTGCACATAAACACACAATTCTTGGCCGAAAAAGCAACCCAAAAAAAAAAATTACACGCGCTGCGAGGGCTACGACAACGGTAGGCGGCGGGCAGCCTGCAGCGGGCGGGGAGAGACGCCTAACACCAAAAATATATATGTATATAAAAAAAATGGAAAAGATTTCTGTCTATGCTTTCGTTGCCGTTTGTTGTTTGCCTTGTTCGGGGGCCACGCAGCGCAGCGCACTCGACCACAATTCTTAGACCGCACGCACGCAGCGCCAGCGTCGTACTGACTGGTTAGCTGAAAAGTATGCTACGCTTTTCGTTCTGCTCGAGCTGAAGCCAAATACGAAGCTGCAGCCGCATTCGCAGCCGCCTCAGTGGGTGGCGCAAAAGCTTCAACAACGCTGTGAAAGCTTTTCTCACTACTGTCAGTATCTGATTTTCGTCTGTGTGTGTGTGTGTGTGTTTGCGACTTGGCAGGGCGTCCTGCTTGCTGCTGTGTGTGTGTGTTCTTTTCTTTCTTCAACGCTTTCCGGAGCTTTGGCCGCGTCCACATAACTTTTGGCACACTGACACTCAGCTGTGGAGCTTATGTCAACTTTAATGTGCACTGCCATGTGTATGTGTGTGTGTGAGAGTGTGTGTTCGCGCACAGCATAGTTCAGACAAATAGAAACAGCTTGCAATCTTCTACTGCAGCATTGCTTCATTTTAAATTTTAGCGCTATTTCTATCCATTTTTTTGCGTCTGTTCATGTTGTTTTAGATGAGAGGTATTACCAATAAACTTTCTACTTAATGCTATATTTGGCTGTTTTAGGTGTGCCTTAATGGTTGTATTTTAATGTTTTAGTTGGAGCTAATTTTTTATTATATTGGTTTCCCTCACCCTTTATAATTAGCCATTAAACGTTGCTGGCTAATGTAAATTTTGAAGAATGGTTAACGAGCTAGAAAGCCACTAGAAAATGGCTAAAAACCCGCTTTGGATAGCTAGAAAATCCACTAGCAAATAGCAAGAAGATAAATAGCTAGAGAAAGGCTAGAAAAGTCGTTAGAAATCCGTCAGACATTGTCTAGAAAACCCATCAAAAATAGATAGAAAAATCGATGGGAAATGGATAGAAAGACCGCTATAAAAAGCTTTAGAACCCGCTAAGAATAGATGGAAAACCCGCCGTCAACGATGGTTGCCAATACAGCTTTCCTTTCTATTTCGCATTAAAAATATTGCTGGAAAGCCCGAAACCCACAAGAAATGGCGACTCTTAACGATTGTTAAGTCCTCCCCGGTCGTTTACATTTCAGATTGCAGCTTTATTTACTTGCGAATCTTCTGGGTCTAGCCTCTTGGATTGAACCATGATTCTTCAAGGACAATTAGCACAATATACATATATCGGGAACACATACTGTATGATTAAATACGATATAATGTTTGTTCAAGATAATGTCTGGAAATTGATTTCAATTGGAAGAATCGATTACATATTTGCTATAGTTATGACCCACATAGTCTTGAAATACTGTTTTTTTTTCTCCACCATTTACGCTCGAGAATGGGAATTGTCTGTCTCAGAGGCCTGCCTGTCCTTTTTGTCTATCATCTTTATTATCTTGCCCCCCACTGTTTTATGAGCACGTTGCTCTCCAAGAGCTTATTCATGCATATTTTATATACGTATATATACGTATGTATATATAAATATATATATTTATGTAAATGTATATATAAATACGTATGTATTTATATATTTTTTTGCGACATGGGCTTGGACCAGTCGGCATTTGTTTTTGAAAGTTTAGCATGCAGTGCCAAACGACGGAGCTTAATGCCTTTGGCCATGTTCCGCTGACGCCCCCCCCCCCTCCCCCCCCCGCCCTCTCCACCGCTTCCGCCAGGGCCACAGCCGCCGACATTTTCAAGTCCCCAACACTTGTCAGGCTCTCTCGCTGATTGTTAAATGACATTATGTGAAGCATTTCTGATGCGTCGCTGAATAGAAGGCGAATATACTGCCTGCATATACTCGCATAAATGTCTACTCGTACTATATACACTATATGTATCCGAAAAGAAACGAGAAGAGCGTTAAAGACTTGCGAAACCAACTCTTCGATACCCTTTGCTTGTCCCCTCTTACACCATTCTTCAGCTGAAACCAACTTTATTGTGTCAATCATTCGAAGGGCAGCTGTGAGGTACATTTTTGAGAGGCAGTATTTAAAATGAAAACGTTTTTTCGTACTAAGCTGGCTTTTCCACCGTGTGTTTCCAAAGCAGCAATACGAATTAGAAGTATATAGAACTAGTTTTAGGAAACTTCATGGCTCAACTTTAGAATATGGCAAGGCATTAGTTCTAAAGCTGTTGAGGTTCATACAGTCGAACAGATCAGCAAACGGACAGACGGCCATATCAAAGCATCCCATACCTTCTTCTGAACGTTACAAACAACAGCGCGTAAAGGTATTTCAAAAATAAGAATGTTATATTTATTTATTATAATGAGTTGAAGTTTTCTGCCTATCGTTCCTATGCCAGTTATATAAAAAAAATGAGGCTAAAAATGGCTTCTCATCTATTTAGTCTGCACATGGAAAATACAAAGCTACACACCAAATTCTGCGTCGCTAACTTTTATTCTCGATGATCATACAGTCGAACAGACGAGCAAACTAGGTGGCGCATATATACAAGTACATATATATTCCTCTCATTGTGCCACATTTTCGTCTGAGCGTTACAAGCATCAGCTCGAACGCAATATACCTTTTCATTGAATTATTTGCACCGAGCAGTGACTGTCAAACTTGCGGTGCACGTGACACGAGAATAGGCGTCGTTTTGTTTCTGTTATTGCCGCTGATAGGTGTCGTTTAGGCTTAGTTTTGTGTGTATTAGCCGGGAGCGTTTTGTTGCCAACATGTTGTTATTGACGTGACTTTTAAGTGGCACTTTGCATGTTTTCGGCATTCATCGTTCGTTCATGCCCGAAAGCCCCGAAAGCCCTGAAACCCCTGAAAGCCAGCTAACGAACATTTCTCTTATTTTATTTCATGTTTAAGTTAATTAATTTCAGCTACACGTGAGCTCACACTCACACTCACACATACACACACGTTCACATACCTACACTGCACAACACATAGAGTCGCGGCTCGATAAGGCGAATACATAGTAAGTATATACAGTAGCGAGCACGTGTGGATACGTGTCTGCCACATCCGCCTTCAAACACTTCTATGTTCTATTGAAATGCATCAATTGATCTGAATTTTCTTTAATTATATTCGCTGTTTATGTTTTAGTTCAAAATTCCAAGAATTACGGGAGTTATAGAAAATCGTTAATAGGGGGGGGGGGAGTGGGGGGGGGTGTATCAGAAAAAATAAACAAACTCGATCTGCCTAGGGCTTATAGGAACCTTGATACCAATTTTGGTTATCCTAGCTCTTGTACTTACTGAGATCCTTGCGCTCATACAGACAGACGGACAGACAGACTGACAGACAGACGGACATGGCTATATCGACTCGTCTTGTCATCCTGATCAAAAATATATATACTTTGTGGGGTCTGCCACGCCTCTTTCTGCCTGTTACATATATTCGCACAAAACTAGTATACCCTTTCACCCTTATAAAAATAAAAATAAATTTAAATATTAAAAATATTAAAAAAAATAAGTTACATTAAATAAAAATTGTTTTTTTATATATTTACAAACTATACATAAGTGGAGACATAGACAGCAGACATGGCTATATCGACTCGTGTTATCACACTGATCAATAATAAGTATATAAACATTTTGTGATGTCTGGAACGCCTTGTTCTGTGTTGCATACATTCGCACATAACCAGTATACCCTTTACCCTTTGAGTACTGGGTATAAAAATATGCACCAAGAACGAAATAATACCTACAATAAATACAAGTATGCTCACCCAGAAGAAGCCAAGACCAAAAGAAAATATGTACTTCATCCGTAAAGAAATCAAAAAGAGAGTGGACAGTGCAGAGATCGGACGGAAAGCAGCCTCAATTAAAGGCGCGTCTGTATTTTGCAAAGAGCATTCAATTGGAATCTAGACAGTAGTACTATTCCTAACCAATCGACTACAATCGGGTGGCTGTGGTTCCGCCTTACCAAACCACCTTCTTCCAAAGGTATCTACATATTTCTGCATGTTACAGGACGAAGACCAGAAATCAAAGAAAGTCCCAAATAATAATCATATAATTAATGTTTTGATCTTAAATCGTTTTAAAGTATTTGACTTAAATGGAGTTGTTGTGGTTCCCTTCTTATCAAATCATCTTCTTCCACAAATATGAACCCATTTTTCATGTTGCAAGACGAGAAAGTCCCAATTAATAATCATATGATTAATGTTTTGATCGTAAATCGCTTTAAAGTATTCGACTAAAATCGAATTGTTTCGTCTTATCGAAGCATCTTCTTCCAAAAATATGAACTCATTTTTCATGTTGCAAGACGAGAAAGTCCGTAATAATAATCATACAGTTAATGTTTTAATCGTAAATCGCTTTAAAGTATTCGACTTAAATCGAGTTGCTGTGGTTCCGTCTTATCAAATCATCTTCTTCTAAAAATATGAACTCATTTTTCATGTTGCAAGACAAGAAAGTCCGTAATAATAATCATACAGTTAATGTTTTAATCGTAAATCGATTTAAAGTATTTCAAGAGGCGTTGTCGTTGGACGACGCTTCACTGTACATGAAATGAATAAATATCTGAACTTAACTTACCGTGTTGTCATGGCTGCTGCTGCTGCTGGTGGTGGTGATGCTGCCTTCGAAAAAGTTGTTGCTCTGCTGTTGGGGATGTTGTGAACTCTGCTGCGTCGCCGCTGCAGTCAGAGTAGACGTCGCAGTCGTGGTATTGTCCTCAAATGACTTTTCAAACGATGCAATTGGCGCCGGGCCAAGTCTTTTCTGCTTGCGCGCATCCATTCTAAAGCAGTAGGGCTCTGCTCTCACACACACACATGCACACTCGCATGGGGGTCGCTATCCTTGCTGCTGACGTCGGCTGCGCCGTCGGCGTCGGCTTCGGCGTCGCAGTCGACCTCCTTGTTTCGTTTGCCTGCAAAGTCGAGGCGAAAACAAAAAAAAACAACAAAACAAATGGGCACAGACACATTAGACGATTCCAACTACTCGCACGGCTATGCCTCTGTTGTTTTTATAATTTCCACAAACACACACACACACACACAAATACACACACACTAACACACCCTTGCCTTGCCCATCAATCATTGGCAAGATGGGAGAGAGAAAAAAAATGGAAAGAAAGAAAGAAATACTTACGATTATATATGAATCGCAAAGGCAACAAATTATTGGCGCAATACCCGCAGCCAATTTTCTGCAGACATTTCGTGCTTCAAGTTTATTGAACTTGCAATGAATTAACAACAGCAACAGCAACAACAACAACAGCAATACTATGTACGATTTGCAATACACACTCATCCCCAACAAAAAACAGAGCCACCATTTATACACAAACCGAACACATAAGAAAGGCGTTGACTGCCAAACACTGTTGCATGATATAAAGGGTGTTTTTTTTTGTTTTTTGTTTTTTATTTATTTTTTTTTTTGAAAACAAATATAGAGAAGTAGAGACCGTCAGCCAGCCTGATTCATGAATACGCTATGCCGCCCACTCTTTACCTCGCTACAGGCTTTCAACGAAACAAAGCTTTTTTCTATCAATCCATTCCTATGACAACTATATGATATAGCAATCGGTTTTTGATGAAACACTTTCGTAAAGTCTCAAGTTACATCGGTATAGAGTGATCAGTTTTCGCTACTAAGTGCGATTTCTACACCGATCGTTCCTATTTCAGCTATATATTCTAAAAAATTATGCAGCTACATATAGTTTCTAATAAACTTGCTCTGCCTATGGTTGACATACTAGGTCTTAATACCCAGGTTGCTGTCCCCAACTGCCTTAATCATATTGACGAGACGAATCGATATATCCATGTCCGGTGTCTGTCTGGATGAACGCATGCATTTCGGAGACGGTAGAGTCCCCATACTCCAAACTTGGTATGTGGACTCTTCTAATATTCACGCAACACGAGTTTATTTTAGTTTTTTGACTTGGCGTTTCCTCTTGTTTTTTTTATTATTTATTTAAATTTTTCGCTAAGCTATGAAAGCGGCATTAAACTCTCGGAGATAACATCACTCATAAATACTGATGGTATCATCATATCTGATGGTATCTCAAAAAGGCTAACGAATTCACATCTTTAGTTTGCACTTAGAAGTTTTTAAACGGATGATTCCGGCTAATAGAGGTGGGAATAATCGTCATTCTACAATATATGTATGTACTTATGTATTTAGTTGAAAAAAGTCTGTTCTCAACATGATCAGAATAGGCTTGTTAAATGGAGGGTGGGGATGGCTGGAGCGATGGTATTCGCTCATACGGTTAGATCTAAAGAGGCCTATTGTGGTGCCATATAATCCCATTTGCTGAATTTGTATAATTTCTTAATCTCCAGTTTTAGGCATTTCTGTGAGCCTATTGAGGAGGTATTGCTCTAGAGAAATCAGTCTATATACTAAATAGAAAGCTGCTCTACGCATTCATCCTCTTTCTCATCTCTACAGCTTCTATAATAGTCATTAGATGGGATGCCAAAAAAAAACTTAAATTCTTTTCAGTTTAAGGAGTATTTTAGTTCTTTTGATGTCCAGCCTTGCTCTCGCAGCCACTATGCTGGCACTTCGTCCACTTGAAGGTAAAACGGTTGCCATGGCTGCTGTCACAATTTTGAAATGTGAAAGCTATGACAATTTTTTATTATTAAAAACTTCATTGTGGACTCGAATTGAATACCTAGAGAAATATGCAATTACAACTATAGGATAAAAGAGAGGACAGAAAACAAATAAGCGTAGAAGTGCGCCAAACAAACCTCTGACATTTTGAGAGCATTTTTCTGCATTCTTCTGCATGCCTGCAGTGCGAAGTATAATAAAATACAGCAGCGGTTGCAATAATAGTGCCAATGCTATTTAAAAACATATAGAAAGCTGCTTTGCTCAGTAATTTAAATACAAAATAGAAATGTTGGAAATTGGAGATAGGCTGAACGACATCATTCCATAGTCTATTAAATATATAGATTTGATTATTTCCCTAAATTAATGGTTACATTTTTCATAAACCTGGGAAGAGTTTAAAAAAACCATAAATAAAATGTAAATTAAATAAATACTCCTAGCTGAGGTCATCAGTTTACAAATTTTCTTCTAAGTATTTTAAATTCAAATTCGATATTGAATCTTCAAACGAAGTTCAAAACACAATGAGGTAGACCTAGCAATTCCTGTTTATCAAGTCTTTAAGTATATTGTTTATCGATCTCTTAAAACCAAAAGGTTGGGTGCGTTCAGTATCGGCCTGGCAGGACCTTAACGTCCTTAAGGTCATTTATCGCTGCATGCAGCCTTAAGTTGAAGACTATTATAGGTAGGTCAGTACCCTGTTTAAGAGTATTCAAAGATTCAGAGATTTCTACCCTCCAGAATTACTTTGGCAAACATACATGTTAATCTCACTAGCTTTGCAGGAACTCCTAAGTGGGGAATATTTTATTTTATCTTAATTCCTATGCAGAAATCTAGAACCTTGACCAAGTCCTTCATAAAAATAAATCGCAATAATGAAATCGCAAGAATTGAAATTCTATTATTGTGAACACCACTGTATACAAGTTTACGAGTATGTATATGGGAAAAGATCCTTGAACAAGCAGTTAATATAGAAACCCTACGCACACACACACACACACACACAAAGGCACACATACATCATTATCGTAGTTGGCTGCAATAACAAAAACTTTTACGAATTTTATTTTACAGTTTTTTGTTGTTGTTGTTGGTTTTTTTTACAGCACTGCAACTTCAATGTATGAAAACCTTCAATCGCATGGGTGGTTTTAAGGTGGTGCTGGGATGTGGCACAACTGTACGTACAACTATATTGTATATTGTTCGAATGCGATGCTTGCATTGCGACGGGAACGAAGAACAACCAACAGAATTGCAGAATTGATTGCCTACTTATATGGGCGCGGAAACCCATTCAATTCAACCATTCCACATATGTATATATGTACTTATGTATGTATGTATGTATGTATATGTGAGTGCATGTGGTGCTTGTGAGCATTGAAAAATGCTATTTCATTATATGAAATGATGTTCCCGCAACCAGAAATATTAAATCCAAATAAATTCGATCGCTGTAGAAAGTTACCTTCAAACAAACATGTGAAAGAGGTTTGTCAATCACCTGTATTTGAGAGTAATATGTTCGACTGTATGATCCTCGATCAATTTGGAAATATAAAAGTTAGGGACACCAAACTTGGTATGTAGACTTGTCCAATTGTACTACAAATTGTATAGGCTTCATTATTTTGTATAGCTGCCATAGGATTGATCAGTGCAAAAATCAGTCTTAGTATGAAACCGTTTTTGTTACTGAAGAGAGAAGTTTCATCAGAAGCTGTGCATTATCTTAGTACCAATAATTTTTTTTAATAAATATATCAGTTTTGAACAAACGTACAAACTATAAATGTGTATAATAAGATCTATTTGGGCACATAAACAACAACAACCGACAAACGCGAGCAGTGTAGCCGTGACATGACTAGACGAATCGAAATAGACATATCAGTTTATCGCCTTAATCGTCTGGCTATGGACACCAATTATGTTAGACTTGTCTTATACATAGCGTGGAAGTTTAATGGCACCTTTGGCAACCTACACATTTCTATGTTTCCTCATGATATTCTGAAGTTTCACGATAATCGGTGCTCTTTACTTTATGTATATCATAGAGGTTAGGCTATAGCGCGGAAAAGTATGGACTACCAGCCCTTTAACGAACCCACAATGACGCCCACAAGACGAACGTTTGTTTTCAATACTGGTCGACTTACTTACTAACTAACTAGCTACCTAACTGACTAATCGCAGCTGCAGCAACCTTGACACACGTACAAGGGTGTGTGCGTGGGCTTGTGTGTGTATTGTGCATGGGATGGCATTATTTTTAGAGGTATTGGTTGTTTGGTTTGGCAGACCCATTCGGCTTGTCATATGCTCGTCGCAGTTGACACTGCCGTTTGGTTGAATAGCCACAAATACACATACACACACACACACATACACTCTCACCCACACACACATCTACATATACAACTAATAATATAGTGACGTACATAGTTTATTATAACTGTTGCCTTTCGTTTCCTTTCCTTTCAACTCTCACGCACGTGGCCACATCGAATATACATATATAGTATATATAGTGTGTGTGCGCGAGTTTTTGCGTGTGTGTGTTTAACCTTTATAACGAATTTCTAAATTTAAAACCTGCTCCCGCATTTCGCTTTTTTGTCTTCAAAGTATTCATCAAGGACGCATTTCCAACAACTACCGAAGTCGCTCCCATTGAGCACTCGACGCCGCTGATGGCTCGCTAATCGCAAAGACTTAGTGAGGGCTGCACCTACAGTGAGAGAACATTTAGTCGAGTGTGTCACATCTATGAATCATATCGAAATTATTGGAAAAAATAAATGGAATATATAAGTGAAAGAACGAGTACAATTACCCTGTACCTGAAGGGTAAGAGGGTATACTTATTTAGTTCGCATGAAGCAGACGTGACATATTCTTGATCGACAAGTCGATCTACAAGTAGGCATGTCCGTCCGTCTGTATGAACGCAACGATCTGGGTAAATATAACAGCTGGAATAACCAAATTTTGGCAGCCAGATGCTACGAGAAAAAATACACCCCAAGTTAATAGTGAAAATTAAAATCTGAAATATACAACTATATATTTTTCCCTCAGACTGTTAGATTCACTGTCATCGCCACTTAGTTTCAAAA